AAACGAATTGTTTCATAGTATAGGTAATGAGGCTTTGCTTTGAGAGTAATTTTTCCATATTATCCTGTGTTTCTGTACTCGTTTCATTTACTCTCCTGCAGTGTATTTGCTGATATTCTTTCCACTGAATAAATATCAACATCAATTTATTGGTCTACTAAGCATCTGTCCTCTTCATTGCTAGTTCAGGATCAGCCAGTCAGAATAGCTGTCATCTTCTTCAGGTGCTGTCTAACTATTAGAATATTTTAAATAGGGTAGGTGACTTCAACACTCATTCACAAACCTTTATTAATCCCAGAGGGGTAATTTAACTGAGGTTGAAGCGCAGATCTGATGGTAGCAGCTGCTTGTATGTCCTCCTGCTCTGCCATGTCTATTTTAGTGCAGCCATAATAATGCAGCATGATTGACGGAACTGTTCTGGGTCTGTCTAAACGGTTGAAGAAGGAACAAGCTGGATTCTTGAGTGTTAATTAATGCACAAATTCTACAAGAAATCATCCTTGACACAAGGTTACCCTTACTGTTACTAAATGCTATTATTATAGTTTAAAATTGACTTAAATAGCAATAGTGTAAGCATGTGAGATATCGCTGATAACTGTGAATCAGATTTATCCAGTGCTAAATGCTACAAATAACTAGAAACAATGAAAGAAACTCATGACAAGCTAGGCTCATCACATTTTTGGGATGGTATAAAGTTTTATAAATGCAAAACAAAAATTTACTATTACTAAGAAGGTTTATTTTCATTTATTTCATTTTTTTTAGCCATCACATAATCTGTTTTTTCAATTTGAATGAAATGTGGCTGCACAGTAGAACAGTGGGTAGCACTGCTGCCTTGCTGCAACAAGGTTCCGCGATCGATTCCCGTCCTGGGATCTTTTTGCATGGAGTTTGCACGTTCTCCCTGTGCATGCGTGGGTTCTCTCCGGGTACTCCGGTTTCCTCCCACAGTCCAAAATCATGACTGTTGGGCTTGTTGGCTTCTCGAAATTCTCTTTAGATGTGACTGGTGACCTGCCCAGGGTGTAGCCCTCCTCTCACCCATTGACAGATGGAGTTAGGCACCATCACCCCTCATGACCCCAGCTGGGATAAGAGTGATAAAAAATGGATGGTTGTAATTTGCATAAATGTAAATAAAGTTTTTAATAAAAGTGCCACTTAGAGATGTTTGATGTACAGATAGTATATAGAGATTATGTTGTTTTTTTCACCATGTTTAACAATGATCACAATGAAAAATTATACAGTTTTTATACCAACTGGGACTGCTGGAATACAGGCTGGCTTTCATGGTTTCCAGAAGGTGTTGAGTGCAACACTCATTTTGAGTTTCACTGTTTAGAAAATAAACTGGAGCTATAACTGGGCCAGTGTTTACAGCCACACCCCACTTTTACTAACCTCTCTCTGTCAGACTCTTACACATTTCCCCCTGCAAGTGTGTCGGGGAGACGGTTGAGCTGGTGCTCTGCCTGCTCTGTTTGAACCTTTCACCGCAATCTGTGGCGTGGAGTGTGTGAATGTCATCCATGTTTGATTCTAGCCTGTGTGGCGCAGTCCTCAGCTCGTGGGATTAAACATTTACAAGGCATATCATCAGTCTGTCAAAACCTCTTTCCCTTCAACACATCGATTTTGAAACAGTGACAAAAAAGTCCACTTTAAACAGGGCAGCACATGTTTTGAAATCTGAACAGTTTGAATGAAGAAATTGTAAATTCAGATGCTTACAAATTAAATGTGTATTTATTGCTCCACCTTTAATTAAGGAGTTTCTTTATATTAGGGTTCACTTAGAGAAATAAAACCCTCAAGAATGAATTGGGAGCTTTAGACGGTTATGAAATCCTAGAAAGGATTTTACACTGCAGAGCTGCATGATACTCAACGTCCTGCTTGGATGCAATATTTGATTAGTGCACACTGACTTTCTGGACCTGATTTAAAAAAAACATTGAACAATGCCAGCAGATGACATGACGTCATCACTGAAGGTGAGCGCTTCACATTTGAAGGCAACATTGACTCTGTGCCCTTCCATTTCTACCACACCCTGGAAACTTGATTTCTACCTAAATCGGTTAAGCAGTTGCTTGAGATGTAGAACTTTAATGGCTCTAGTTCTAGATGCATCTGTATGGTGCCTCTTGAAGCTCTGACTCCAGCATCATTCCACATGCAGCATCTAAATGGGTGGAAATAAACACTTGAATTATATTTTGGAATACATTTATGCAGTGAATAAATTTTTAAATTGAGATATTAATGTTAACTTTTGATTGGATTCTAATTTGAGATGTAGCTCTCTATTAAATCCCTCTGGACATAATCAATGTGGCCTTTCAGTATTGAAACTCTGATGTCCATAAATATATTTAGATTTTACATTTCTAATATATATTCATGAACTTTTTACTTTCTGAAGGTTTTTTTTTATGAAAATTATTTTTAATCGAAATTCTGTGTACAGCAATTTTAGATCAGACTGATAAGTCGATTAGTCATCTTTATATTAGTAACTGTCGTGTCATTTTTAAAAAAGTTCATAACAAATGTGACCTACTTTTTTCAAAAATAAATCTCCCTGCTCGATGATCCCAGTTTTGTGGGGAGCTCCACTGCAGATGTGATTTAGAGATGCACTCTGCGCCTGTTTTGGTTCAACAAAGGATAGAGGAGAGCTGCGAATGACCTCAACTGTTCCAGATGGACAGCTCAGTCGGGAGGAGGCCGTCATAACTGGCTGGGGGTTATTTAGAAAGAAGCGTTTCGCCCCCCATGCGACAAGGAGCATGCAGTCGTTCCATGCCGAGAGAATGTACTATTTGAGCCTTCAAGCTGGGTAGAGATATTACTAACTGCCTTAACCATGGAGGAAAATATGCTGCCATTAACTCCTCTGAAATTACTCTGAGTTGCATAGACAAAGCAAGAAGGGAGTCATTTGTGGCGTGGTAATGTTGGTGGCTTCGGTCTTGGTGGCCTTGTGTGCTTGAAGCATGTTGATTTTGTTTTGATTAAAAACAGCCCGCATGGGAAAATCTTTACTAGTTGTTTCCAGTAGATCTGATCACCCAGAAGATAAACTCAACCAGAACATATTCTAAAACCCATTTAGACCCAGATGATGCAAAAGGTTCAGACGTTTTTATATTTGTTCCATTCTACTTAAAAAAGGGACAATTTGCACATTATAGCACCACTGGAGCTATAAGTAGGAATTTTTAACAATGAGACATACTTAAAAGTCTTATCTATGTACAGTACATGTGTAAATATGCCTTCTGCTGTTTATGCTTACCTAAGGAATTCACATATCAGCATATTTTGGATGCATGCTGTCCACCTGAACAGCACAAATTGTGCAGAGCAATTCACTTATCTGTCTATCTCGCACATTTTGTTGGCCGGCAAAAGTTTTTTTTTTTTCTTTAGTTTTTTTGCTTTTAGAACAAAAAAAAAATTAAATCTCTGCTCCTGCTGCAATGCAGTCTTAAATGAATGCACCACTTTTTTTTTTTTTTTTACCACTAAAGCCTTCGATTCTGTTTGAACTCCAACTCCGAAGCTCCTTACGAAAACTGTTGTGTAACGTCGTCCTTCTGTGAGCTCTGCTGCAGCACTACTGGGGGTGAAGAAGGGAAAGATAATCGGGGAGTCTGAGATGCATAAACATCCTCTTCGCTGATGTTTCTGTTTTATTGAGATCAGCTTGATTAACCTGTATGTAGACATTAAGAATGTTTTATATTTTGTAATTGAATCTATGAATGAAGTTTGATCACCTAGATGAGTTTGTCATCCTTGTATTCTTGCGCTGGATGCTTTATGAACAAATACTATAAATTAATATTTGGGTCTTGGGGATTTCTAAATGATGCGAATGAAAATCTTTTGATCAGGCTGTTTTTTTTTCTTTCCTGCTGCTCTTATTGTTTCCACTGAGCTCCCAAACATCGGGAGAAGATTGGAATGTGAAATATTTTCCAAGCCCAGATGTCTGGATGTTTGTCCATCCAGCCTTCATATCTTTCATCCATCTAACAGTTAGTCCATTAGATTTCTATCATCCATCCATCCTTTATCTGCCAATCCACCTGTTAAACTTTTAATCTGTCTTTCATTTGTCTGTCCATCCATCCGTCACCAATTTGTCAAATAATAATGCGTCCACTTATCTTTTGTCCTTCAGTGAATCTTTTATTCCTTTGTCCAACCATTAGTTTGTCCATTATCCATTAGTCTATTGGATGGATGTCCAAAATGTAATGTAATGTGATTAAATCCCTTTATTGTCCCACAGCGGGGAAATTCACTCTTTGCATTTAACCCATCTGTTCGGGGGGCAGTGGGCTGCCATTGTGTGGCGCCCGGGGAGCAGTGTGGGGTTAAGGGTTTTGCTCAGGTGCCCAGAGTGCAGGATGTGGAGATCAGACCGGGTACTTGCAACTAACCCATAGGCCAACACTCTCCCAAAAATGGATGTAGCCATCCAGCCACTTGCGTTTTGTCCACCATGAGGATTATTTTCTATTGTCCACCCGTCCATCCATGGGTTTTCTTTTGTCTGAAGTACAGAGTAGTATTGTCACATCGCATTGGAACTACGTACATCCAAATCATCTGTACTGTTGTAGCATTTGTCTTGTCTCTAGACACTGCTGTCTCCTCATAGAGTGTGCTGACAGCACCAACTCATGCCTGATGTGGATTGATTTATTTTGACTGTGGATTGTAATTTCCTGTTATGTCCCCAGTTTTTCCTGCTCGAGGGCTCTCCCTATTTAATAAAATAGCAATATTACCTTTGTTTGGCTTTTGTCTGCTCTTTTTTTTTTCATTTCATCCATTACTTAGTAATCGCCCCCTGAATGTTTTATGTTTACCTAGGAAGTCACATGGAGGTGTTGTCAGATTGTAGCTGAGTAATCATGGCTTATGACACTAATCTGTTTCTATGTTTCCTCTCTCGTCTCTTGCAGGTGAAAGAGCAAGCAGACAGGCTGCCTCACTCTAAGCTATGGAATGCTTCCTGCTCCCAGCATCTCTAGTCTCCAATCTTTGGACTGAGCTTCTTACACTTAGTTAGCAGCTGTGCTTCTCCCCTCGAACTCTTTCTAAACCAGGGGACAAAAAGAAGAAGCAGGCTTACCAAGTCTTCCACGGAAGACGCCGAGCACCTTTTTCTTTTTTTAAGAATAATTAAAGATTAGTTTACTTTTTCTCCAGCTTGGATTTGTGCTCTGATAACATCCTATCAAGATGGATCTGGAACCGTATCTGTGGATGGTGATTATTGGCTTCATCATCGCCTTCATTCTGGCTTTCTCCGTGGGGGCCAACGATGTGGCCAACTCCTTCGGAACAGCGGTGGGATCTGGTGTGGTCACTCTGAAGCAGGCCTGCATCCTGGCATCCATCTTTGAGACGTTGGGCTCGATGCTGCTCGGCGCCAAAGTGGGTGAGACCATTCGGAAGGGCATCATAGATGTCAACCTCTACAACGAAACGGTGCCCGTCCTCATGGCAGGGGAGGTCAGCGCTATGGTCGGTCAGTACAATGCTTTTATTTTAGCATATATTATTGAGTATAACCATTATTTTTTTATTTTATTTCATTTTCTTTCTAATTTATATGATTTTTATTTTATTAGTGCAAAGTCTCTAATCTCTGCTTCAAATCAAACATAAAGCATTATTGGGTATTGTCTTATAGTACTTCATTTAAAAGTAGCTTTAAAAATAAGCTTACATTTAACATAATCTCATAAATGCAAAGTCATTTAGTTGCTTTCTTTATTTCAACACATTAGTTTTACATTAAAATCTATACCCGGAGCAGATGTGCCTTTATGGATATTTTAGTGTTTTGCAAAAAGTCTCCCTGCTGGGTTGATGAACAGTAGTTCCCAAGCTGAGGTATGGAACTCGACTTACAAAAACTACAGCAGATACCTGCCGGCATTCCTAGCACAGAATTGCAGGCATTGCTAATAAACCAATTATTTAAGGAGGAAGCAGAGGGGAAAAAATGCACTCTGCAGGCAACATTAGTTTCTATAACTCCTTTGCAAACCAATGTAGAGAACATGGGTTTTTACAAATGCTTTTCTTATTTTTATTCACTATTCAATAATTATAACCTTTCTTTAACATGTAAGTTGTAACTAAGATATTTTTAGCAATCTATTACATTCTCACAAAGAATCAGAATCAGAAATACTTTAATAATCCCAGAGGGAAATTACTTTTGTTACACGCTCCAGTTACAGTTTTATATATTTATATATATATATATAT